CTTTAACACATGTCCACCGCAAGTGATAATATGTACCAGGATTTTGATTACATTTCCAACATTTACTAGACATATTTTTAAACATTTTTGCTAATCTGACAAATGGAAGATGTCATCTATAAAACATTTTATATAAGTTTTCTTTATACAAAGTTGCCATTGTCAATTTATAGTTTCTTTCCCAAAGATTTTGCCATTTCTCTAATTCTGTATTGTATCCAAAAATGTTGTTCATATTATCATTGTTTTTTTCACTTGTTCATCTTCCATTTTCAAATTCAATAAAAAGTTATACAATTTCTTAATCAGTTTTTTATCATAAGCCAACAACCGTGATCAAATATTTTCTGGTCTTTATAAAAGCCATATATTTTAACATCTTTATTTGTACCTCGATTGCATTTACAGTTGAGGCTACCATGATAAGTCAATACCCTGATCTTCTAACTCTTGTTTAGATTTTAATTTCCCATCTGTATTCTAACATATCTTATATGTTAGAATTTTCTCAAATTTAACTAAGTTTGAATGAACAAATGCTTCCATCGTTGATAGCCATCCTGGGATTTTCGTATAGATTTTTGGTTTTATCTTTTCCCATACAAATAATAATGTGTTTCTTATTTAGTTTGATTCTTATTTAGTTTGGAAATATCTAGGGTTTTATTCTTTTCATATCATAAAAATGTGTGCCATCCAAATTGCAAGTTATGTCCATCTAAATATAACAACCTTTTGTTTCTGAGGGTTATCCATTCTTTTAACCATGTTAGAGCACATGCTTGGTAGTATAAGACCCAATCTGGTAGTCCAAATCTCCATTTTCTTTAGTTTCTTCTAGCATTTTCAATTTAATTCTGGCTTTCCTTCCTTGCCAAATAAATTTCAAGATCAGTGTATTCAAATCATCAAAAAACTTTTTCTCTATTTTTATAGGTACTATTTGAAATAAAAAAAGGAAATTTGGTAAAATATTCATTTTCACAGTAGCTATTCTTCCTAACACTGATAGTTGTAAGTTTTTCCAGTTTTCCAAATCTAATTTTGTTTGATTTAGTAATTTTATATAATTATCTTCTTTTACCATTGCACATCTTGCTGTTAAGTATATTCCCAAATATTTAACTTTCTTAACTATTTGTAAGTCTATTTTTTCTGACAGGTTTTTTTTTTTTGCTTATCTATATGGTTTTTAACTATAACTTTGGTTTTTTCTCTGTTTATTTTCAATCCTGCTATTTCTCCAAATTCTTCTATTCTTTTCAATAGTTTAAGAGTTGTCTCCAACGGTTCTTCTAAAATGAATACCAGATCATCCACAAATGCTTGTAGTTTATAGCTTTCACGTTTTATCTCCATTCCTTTGATTTCCAGATTTTGTCTGATATTTCTATTGAGAACTTCCAAAGTTAGTATAAATAGCAGTGGGGATAGCAGACATCCTTGTCTTGTGCCTTTCTTTATATTAAAGTTCTCTGTATAGTCCCCGTTAACAATTACTTTTGCTGTTTGTTTATCATATATTGTCTTAATGATCTTTATAAACTTTTCTCCA